TCGGTGCTGCTCGGCCTTTTCTCGCTGACTCATTAAGATCTTTGGCTCCTCTGCTTTCGTCTCAGGTAATCTTGAACTGTTCAGCGCTGCCGTGTTTGCTCCACCTTCTCAGCAGCCCTAAGGAGTCCATCAAGAAGGAGGCGTGCTGGACCGTGTCCAACATCACAGCAGGAAACAGAGCTCAGATTCAGGTATTCTGCGTCGTCGTCTGCGTTTGTCGTGGCGAGATGAAGAGCTGCCGTTCTTTGCTGCTGACCACATTTTTCTGTTTTTGTCAGAACGTCATTGACGCCAACATCTTTCCAGTACTGATCGAGATCCTTCAGAAGGCCGAGTTCCGCACAAGAAAGGAGGCTGCGTGGGCGATCACAAACGCCACCTCCGGGGGCACGCCCTCACAGATAAAGTGTGTTTACCAGACGTACCCGCCCTCGTCTTAAAAACACAGAGATGTGAAGATTCCTCCTTACGTAGTTCTGGTTTCCCACAAAGACAAAGCTTGAGTCACAGTTCAGTGCGAGTAGTTTCACCATGTGATGAGTCATCAAAATCCACCAATGTTAGCTGAGCGCTGCTTCAGATGGTGCACCACACTCTGAGCTTTCCTACAAACACCACACGGATGTTAATGTGACGCAAACAGATCTGAAATATTTCACACGTTCATATATTTGGTTTGTCAGATTTCACTGTGCTGGGAATTCTCTGCACATTTGCACAACAGGAATTGGTGGAAATCCAAAACTGTCGTACTTTGTAAACAAAGTGAAATCCTGCTGAGGACTGACGTTTGTGCTCTCTGCGACAGGTATCTGGTGTCCCTGAATGCCATCAAACCCATGTGCGACCTGCTGACGGTGATGGACTCTAAGATTGTTCAGGTGTCCCTGAACGGTTTGGAGAACATCCTCAGACTGGGAGAACAGGAAGCCAAACAGAACGGAACCGGCATCAATCCGTACTGCGCTCTGATTGAGGAAGCTTACGGTAATGCTGGGAAACCACCAACACAACATTCATGAGCTTTTTTCACTCTCAGAAAAGTGGACACGTTCTTTCGTCTCGCGTTTGGTTCCACACCCACCGTGTGTTCACTGCAGCTCGGTGGTTGTTTCTTTCTTGGCGCCTCTTTGTAACCGAGCGTGTTTCCAAGAACGTCTAAGTTTATGAAACAGTGTCAAATAAAAGTGTGAAATAAAAGTGAAAGCTTTGTTTAGGAAGTATGTGTGTGAGGGGAGAAGGCAACGTTTGGACGTTTTAAGAATCACAAGCTTTTTTAGCATGTTGGTACTTTTGTCTCACACTCCCATCCTCCCTGACTACAGT